CCCTGCGCCCATGCTCTCGTACACCTTCTCCCCACCCTCCCTTGTTCTAGTACACTTTCTCCCCCACTCGCCACGTTCTAGTAACCCCCCCCCCCCCCCAAGTCGTCAATGTTCTAGTAAACCTCCTCCCAAGTCGTCAATGTTCTAGTATAACTTCTCCAACTTCCCATGTTATATTAAAACCTCCCCATCCTTTACGATCTAATAAATCTTCTATGTTCTAGTTTCCTCCCCTCCCCTCAACCTCCCCCTCCCTATGTTCTAGTTTCCTCTCCTCCTCCCCCCAGTCTTCCCCTCATGTTCTAGTACACCTGCTATCTCCTCCCCGAACACTTCACCCCCTCCCCCCCCTATTTCTTCGTACACCTCCACCCCCCTCCCCCCGATCCCCCATCCCCCCCCATGATCATGTACTCCTCTCTCCCCGCCTCCTAGTACACCTCCCCTTCCCTATACCCCCCCCCTCCCCAAACTACACCTCCCTCCCCATCAGAATCTTATCACACCACAATATCGGATTCGAGAAAAATGAGGGAGACTCGTATAATCAGTTAACCGGCTATCAACTCTCTTTCTCTCTCTCTACCTCTCTCCCTCACTCCCTCTCTCCCTCTCTACCTCTCTACCTCTCTCCCTCTCTCCCTCTCTACCTCTCTACCTCTCTCCCTCTCTCCCTCTCTCCCTCTCTCCCTCTCTCCCTCTCTCCCTTTCCCTCTCTCCCTTTCCCTCTCTCCCTCTTTTTCGTAGCCCCTTGACGTTCGTTATTTACCAAGCCCACTTGATGCTCCCCTGCAAACCTTTCTCTCCCCATTCCCTCTCTACTCGTCTTCATCACAATCTCTCTTTCTCTCTCTCTCTCTCTCTCTCTCTCTCTCTCTCTCTCTCTCTCTCTCTCTCTCTCTCTCTCTCTCTCTCTCTCTCTCTCTCTCAGTCTTCCTCTTTCGCCCTCTTCGCTCAAATGAGAATTGAAGTTATTAACATGAACCGCTACCCAACATCGCCCCACGTCGATCCTCCCCTTCCGCTCCCCCATGCCCCGACCTCCCTACCCATGCCTCTACACATTCCCCATGCCCCTCCCCCCCCCACCTCCCCTTCCTCCTGCCACTCCCCCTGCTAGGATTATGACCTGTAAGTGTTACGCCGGTCCGTCAGTCCTGCCCAGGTCATGGACAAGGCAGGGTCACACACGGCGGAGCTCCCACCCTCCTCTTATCCCTTCCCGATAACAAGAGCAAGAATGAGTCACTGATAAGCGGCCACGAATCTCAAAAGACGCAAACGAAGGAGAAAAAGAAAGAAAGAAAAAAAAAAACACGTCAGCCTGGCTTCTTTGACATAATAGCACGGCTACGCGTATGGCAACACCGCCTCGGGAGGTGTAGGTGGGCGAGTTGCCACGCGCGAATTTCCAGGTCTCCTCGACATGGTAACAAATCGCTGACCTCTTCCATCTCCAGACACACAACCAACGAACCAAAACCGCCCACGAAGCAGAAATCGCAAAAGCCATCGCAAAATCCGAAGAGGCGAGCGCAAATAATGCAACACAGGCGCTCCCGCAAGACAACAGACATCATGGCGGCCGCCGCGCGTCTCGTCTCCCTCCCGCCCTGCACAGCTCACGGGAGGGGAGGGAGGAGAGGCGGCGAAGGGAGGGGAGGGTGAGGAGGGACGGACGGAGGAGAGGAAGGAGAGGAGAGGGGAGGGGAGGGAGGGATGAGCCGGGGATGGCGGGCGGTGTGACTTTCAAAAGCTTGGCGCGAACCCCTCAACCGCCCCTCTACAGCTCTCACAGCCAGGGAGCCGGCCGGCAACTGTCTCTGCACGTTTGACTATGGCGCTCGCTCTCCTCTCCTCTCCTCTCCTCTCCTGTCTTATCGCCCCCTCCTCTCACTCTCTCTTTCCCTCTCTTGCTGTTTCTTATCCTCCCTCTCTCTCTCTCTCTCTCTCTTTTTCTTTCTCTGTTGCTTCTAATCCTCTCTGATTCTCCCTTGCGTGAGCTCGTGACTGGGATATTCACATCGATTAATAGTACGTACGGGAGAAGGGCAGGGGAAAGAGAACGGAAAAGGAAGAGAAGAGAAGGGAAGATGAGAGAACTAAACAGAACACAAGAAGACAAGGGGAAGAGAAAAGAGAAGAGGAGAGGAGAAAGACAAGAGAAGAGACAGACAGAGAGGCATATAAAGAAAGAAAAAGACAGACAGACAGAGATAGACACAGACAGACAGACAAGCCATATTCCGAGCCCCCAAGACGACACGGCGACGACGGTCAGAGATCCTTCTAGAAAACGCCCGCATTCCTCTAGTGAGTCTCCACACTAGGAAGGGGAATGGAGGTGCGCCCCATATGGCAACACCGACGTACACACTCACGAAAGTTACAGAAGGAAATGAATTCAAATAAAACTCGCGTCTAATGCATAACCACTTGTCGTTGATGATTATTTTTTACTCATGATGATGATTCCAACTCAAAAAAATAAGAAGAAAAAAAGCAAAGATTGAAAGTAAAAAAAATAATAATAATACACGAAATTGAAGGAATACTAAAAGAAACATATATAAAAAAAAAACATTAAAATTTCAACCCCAATAAACCACAAAAAACGGAAAAAAGAAGGAAAGAGACAACACAGACAGCCCCACAACCCACAACATAACCGACATACGCAACATAGCAACTCCGAAGGTGGATGGTCGCCTGTGCTTAGGCTAACTCCCCCCCTACCCCCCCTCCCCATCCCCATCCCACCCTATCCACTACCCCCCTCCCCCTCTTCCACCAGCCGAATGGATCGAGTGTTGGAGGAGGAGGAGGAGGAGGAGAGGAGAGAGAGAGAGAGAGAGAGAGATGAAGAATTGGAAAGGAGGAAGCGAGGAAAGGAAAAGGAAAGGGAAGAAGGCGAGAGGTTCAGACGAAGGAGAGGAGAGGAGAGGAGAAGAGGGGGGAGGGGAAAGAGAAAGGAGGCGATGTGATGAAGGAGAGGCGAAGGAAGCGAAGAGAGGAGATGGGGGAGAGGAAGAAGAGGGCGAGAGGCAGCACGCGCATGGCACATCTCTCTCTCTTTTCTCAATGAAATCACTCGTCTCGCACCATCCATTTCGTCACTCTCTGCTTTTCTTCCTCTCCTTCCTCCTTTCTTCCTCCTTCCTTCTTCCTTCCTCCTCTTCCTCCCTCTCCTCCACGTCCATCCATCCTTCTCTATCCATCCATCCACCTATCCACTTACCCATCCACTTATCCATCCCATCCATCCTGTACAATTGGCAGAAACGAACAAAAGTGCTGACGTCACACCCCTCTCAACACTACACGTGGCGATTAGGCCGGGGGAGGGGGTGGGGGAGGGGAGTGTGAGAAGAGAGAGAAGGGGGAGAGGAAGGAGAGAGAGAGGGAGGGGGAGGGGGGGGGGTATAGGGGAATGGGGAGGAATGGAGGAGTGCCGGGGGGGGGGGGGATGGGGTGTGGTACCACGGTATAAACACAAATAGACATTTTCTCTCAGGGCATTTTTTTTTTACCTTTTTTCATCGTATTTTCGTGAAAATATCCCTAGGGACTGATATAAAAGGGTAGAATAGAGATATAGAGAGAATTTACGTTCAGGGCGAAGGATGAGAAAGGGGAGAAATGAGGAAGAGGAAGAAAAACAAGCTATACTAAGACACACGAAGAGGAAAATGAAGAGGGAGAGAAAGGAGGGGTAGAGGAAGAGAGAGAAAGGAGGGAGAGAGAAAAAAGAGGAAGAAGAAGAGGAGGAAGACCGAGAAATGGAATAAAGAAAGGAGGGGTAGAGGAAGAGAGAGGGAAAGGAGGGAGGGAGAAAAAGGAGGAAAAGGAAGAGGAGGAAGACCGAGAAATGGAATAGGAAGAAGTGAACTGAGAATATTGACTCAAGAGACTCATATTTGTTGAGTGACGCAGCCTTCCTGCCCTCGAGGCTCGCGCCGCTCGCCAGTCCTACCTCCGACACTAGCCGTCCTATCCTATACCTATCCTATACGCATCCTTCCCCCCCTTCCCTCCCCTCCCTCTACTCTCCCTCTACTCTCCTTTCCTCCCCTCCCTACACTCTCCTTTCCTTTCCTCCCCTCCTATTCCATTCCATTCCATTCCATTCCCTTCCTCCCCTTCCCCTGTCTGTATGTGTGTGTATCACAACGCGAGCAGATAAAATAAATAAATTATAAATTAATAAGCTCTCCACCTCCACCTCCACCTCCACCTCCATCTCCACCTCCATCTCCACCTCCATCTCCACCTCCACCTCCATCTCCACCTCCATCTCCATCTCCACCTCCATCTCCACCTCCATCTCCATCTCCACCTCCATCTCCACCTCCATCTCCACCTCCATCTCCACCTCCATCTCCACCTCCATCTCCATCTCCACCTCCATCTCCACCTCCATCTCCACCTCCATCTCCACCTCCATCTCCACCTCCATCTCCACCTCCATCTCCACCTCCATCTCCACCTCCACCTCCATCTCCACCTCCATCTCCACCTCCATCTCCACCTCCATCTCCACCTCCATCTCCACCTCCATCTCCACCTCCATCTCCACCTCCATCTCCACCTCCATCTCCACCTCCATCTCCACCTCCATCTCCACCTCCACCTCCATCTCCACCTCCACCTCCACCTCCATCTCCACCTCCATCTCCACCTCCATCTCCACCTCCATCTCCACCTCCATCTCCACCTCCATCTCCACCTCCATCTCCATCTCCATCTCCTCCTCAGCTGCAGCTTCATCCCCGATGACGTAAGACTTTATCCCCTGACGATGCAACTTGGATCCTCATGCACGGTGTGGAAGGAGCAGGAGCAGGAGGAAAAGAAGAGGAATAAGACCAGAAGAGGAAGAGCAAGAGGAAAAAGAGGAAGAAGCAGGAAGGAGAAGAAGAGAAAAAAATAAAGAAACGAAAGGAGGCAGACGAAGTAGAAAACAGAGAACAACAAAGGACAATCGACCTACCGATGACGCAATGCACAAATCTCAACGAAGCAACGGAGAAAACAACCACAGTTCGAACCCGGAGACAGAAACGGTAGCAGAACAGTGAGAAAAAAAGAAGAGAGAAAATAAAGAAAAAGAAAAAAAGAAAAAAGAAAGAAGAAGAAGAAAAAAAGTGTCATAAATCCCAGACCGCGAAGTCATGGGGTCCGAGGTGGAAATGCCTTCAAGGAGACGGCCACGATTTCCCTCAAGAATCTCCCCCCCCCCTTCCCCCCTTCCCCACCCCCTCCTTCATGCCCTCCCTTCCCCCCCTCGCCTCGCCCCCTTTCCTCAATGACACGGTTTCCCCTCACATGAATCACCATCGCCAACCCCCATGCTACAACACCCCCCCTCCCCTCCTCTTCCTCCCTACCCTCTTCCCCATCCCCTTCCCCTTCCCCCCTCGAAACGAAAATTTACTCCCTACTCGCATACCCCACCCCATACCCTAACATCCCCTCCCCACGCCCCGACACAACCCTACCTCTCCCCCCCCACCCCCAAACCAAACCTTCTCCTCCCCCCACCCTCATCAGGCCCCCCCCCCCCCCCCCTTTGCTCATTTGACAAGGGCGATGCTCGATCAACCACGCCTCGAGAACAAACACTTGAACGAAAGTAACTGATGTGAGAGATAGCAGGAATATTCGGGGCTGATAAAAGCGGAAAGGAGGGGGAGGGGGAAAGAGGGGGAGGGAGAGAGGGAGAGAGAGGGAGGGAGAGAGAGGGAGGAGGAGGGAGAGAGAGGGAGGGGAGGAGGAGGGAGAGAGAGGGAGGAGGAGGGAGAGAGAGGGAGGAGGAGGGAGAGAGAGGGAGGAGGAGGGGAGAGAGAGGGAGGAGGAGGGAGAGAGAGGGAGGAGGAGGGAGAGAGAGGGAGGAGGAGGGAGAGAGAGGGAGGAGGAGGGAGAGAGAGGGAGGAGGAGGGAGAGAGAGGGAGGGAGAGAGGGAGAGAGAGGGAGGGAGAGAGAGGGAGGGAGAGAGGGAGAGAGAGGGAGGAGGAGGGAGAGAGAGGGAGGAGGAGGGAGAGAGAGGGAGGAGGAGGGAGAGAGAGGGAGGAGGAGGGAGGAGGAGGGAGGGGGAGGGAGAGAGGGAGGAAGAGAGAGAGAGATGGGGAGGGGAGAGGAGGAGAGGGGGAGAGGGAGAGGGAGAGAGAGAGAGAGAGAGAGAGAGAGAGAGAGAGAGAGAGAGAGAGAGAGAGAGAGAGAGAGAAAGAGAAAGAGAAAGAGAAAGAGGAAAGAGAAAGAGAAGAGAAAGAGAAAGAGAAGAGGAAAGAGAAAGAGAAAGAGAAAGAGAAAGAGAAAGAGAAAGAGAAAGAGAGAGAGAGAGAGAGAGAGAGAGAGAGAGAGAGAGAAAGAGAAAGAGAAAGAGAGAGAGAAAGAGAAAGAGAGAGAGAGAGCGAAACAGGACGCGGCGCAGGGCCAGGTGTCGGATTACGGCACTCGCATCCCACAGCTCATAAGAGGAGTCCGGTCCCAGTCGGAGTCCTGCAGCGTGACCCTACATGGCGTCCCTCTCCGCCCTCCTCCGCCCTCCTTCGCCATCACACTGCCTCCCTGCCACCCTGTCTCCCTGCCACCCTTCCGCCCTCGTAACTTACCTCAGCGGCGTGCCACCATTCGCCCTCTGCCACCTTACCGCCCTTACCATCTGCCTAAATGCCCTTACCATCTGCCTAAATGCACTGCCATCCTGCCTAACCAACCCCTCTGCCACCTTCAATGCCCTGCCACCGTACCACCTTGCCTAAACGCCTTTCCCTTCCTTCCCTCTTCTGCCACCTCCTTTCCACCCTCCACCCCCCACCCCCTCCTTCGAGGCCCCTTCTACCGTCCCTTCTACCCTACCCCTACCATCACCTCCCCCCCCCCTCCCACCACCACCACCAAAATACCTCATAAGACGGCCTGCAATCTCGCAACTTTTGCAATCTCGCGTGCTAATACCGGCCGCGTCCGGATGCGTTCGCGAGTGTGCGGTTAATGACAACACCTTATTATCTCTTCTCCGTGAAGTGATTCTTTTCCCCTTCACCCCCCCCCCTTTTTTTATTAACCAAGACCCGATATTATGAAGAAAAGCGGAGATGATATACGAGTAGCGAGGGATCGAAATTAACGCTCGAAAAAGAAGGAATAAAGAGAGAGAAAATAGGGAGTGAAGGTGGTAAAAAATAGAAACATATGAAACATTAAAAAAAAATAATGAAAATTTACCCCCCCCTTCCCCCCAAAAAAAGCTCGAAAAATGAACAAATAACAATGGGTGGAACACGTGTTTCAAGGACATGGGCGTGAACACAGTACGCTCTACACACACCTGTCCAATCACAAACTTGTAATACCCCCCTCCCCCCAAATAAATAAATAAATAATAAAAAATAATAATAATTAACATTTAATGAATAAATGAATAAAATAAAACAATAACTTAAAATAAAGCATAAATCAGAACTGTAAACAAAAGAGCAGAGGAGTTAAAAAAAAAAGAAAAAGAAAAAAGAAAATACACAGATTATCACAATAAATGGATTTCCACAGGAAGCCGCCCAAACCCGCGCCGTATTTCAACGCCTGTTAAGCCTACCGGTCGCCCCCCCCCTTCCCCACCTCATCCCCCCCACCCGGAGTATTTACACGAGTCAACAATAGCACAAAAGCACGGCGGAAGTGGCCTATAAGGGCGCCATACAGGTTGCAACATCTGCCGGCACAGATGCTCTTTTTATCGGTTTGTTTTGCTTTTATTTCTCAAGTTTTTCCTTTTTCTTTTTGACTTTTCATTTCCACTTTTTTCATTTCTTTATTTCTATTTTTTTATGATGTTCTACTTTCCATTCTATTTGTTTTTTATAATTTTATTTTATATTTTCTTTATCTTATTTTCATTTTCTTATCTTTTATTTCATTTTTCTAATGATGATGATAATGGTGTTGACGTTGCAGTGTCTTGTTTTTATTACTGTTGTTTTAATTACTTTTGTTGTGGTTTGCTGGTGTTTTTCTTTGTTGTTGTTGTTGTTGCTTTTGCCGCTGCCAATTAAGAAGCTAGATGTGGCACTCTGGTGGCACTGTCATTATCCCTTATCATATCACCATGGCATTTCCCGTTTAGATACTAGATAACCGTTTCTACCTTTCTTTCTGGGTGATACGCGCAAAACAGCACCGCCACAGTCACAAACAGTAACAGTAGCTACGACAACAGTATGAGAAGTTAAACGAAACAGCAACATAACAGTAATAATAACACGAGTAACAAGAATGCCGGCAACAGTAATAACAGTAACAGAAGAGTAACAACCAACGGTAACATGGGTATTACGAAACAACGGTTACCAGAAACGAGTTAACTAGGGGGGAAACAAACAACCACAAAAAAAATAAATAAAAAATAAAGGGAAACAAACAACCACAAAAAAGTAAATAAAAGATAAAGGCAAACAATTTTCACCAATCCAAGCCCATCATCTCTTCGTCTAAAAAGGAAAAAGAAAATCTTTCCCAAAGAGAATGCAAATACAGCTCATAATTCATGGGCCAAACATCGGCCATCAGATGGCTATCAAAACACTAATCGCATATTTATGGTAAAACGTTTGTATTCATTTGAGCAGATGGTGACCTCCGCGCGGTCACCATGAGCACCACAATCATCATATTCCTCATCCTCATCATATTCCTCATCCTCATCATCACCATCCTCCTCATCATCACCATCCTCATCCTCATCATCACCATCCTCATCCTCATCATCACCATCCTCATCCTCATCATCCTCATAATCACCATCCTCATCCTCATCATCACCGTCCTCATCCTCATCATCACCATCCTCATCCTCATCATCACCATCCTCATCATCACCATCCTCATCCTCATCATCACCATCCTCATCCTCATCATCCTCATAATCACCATCCTCATCCTCATCATCACCGTCCTCATCCTCATCATCACCGTCCTCATCCCCCTCACCACCATCTCTCATCACCGTTCTCATCCTCATCAATATCTTCAACCGTATTCTCCCCCTCGCCATCATCATATCATATATCCCAATCATCATCTTTATCTTATCCCCCTATCCCCAATCTTTATTCTCCTCCACCTCCTCATCTTCCTCACCATCCTCATCATCCTCCTCCTCACCCCTCACACCATCCCTAAACGGCTCCTCATTACAAAGCGGGGAGCCGTCAACCACACAGACGCCCTGCAAAAAACGAGTTAAAAGCACCGAGGATTTATCATAACCGGCAGAGATAAGGACACAAGACAAGAGTTTCCCAGAATAGCGATAACACACTAGTGGCTGCTCATAGGTGGAGGAAAAAGGGAGGGAGGGAAGGAGGGAGGGAGGGAGGGAGAGGTAGGGAGGGAGGGAGGGAGGGAGGGAAGGAGGGAAGGAGGGAGGGAGGGAAGGAGGGAGGGAGGGAGGGAGAGAGGTAGGGAGGGAGGGAGGGAGGAGGGAGAGGGGGAGGGAGAGGGAGGGAGGGAGAGGTAGGGAGGGAGGGAGAGGGGGAGGGAGAGGGAGGGAGGGAGAGGTAGGGAGGGAGGGGAGGGAGGGAGGGAGGGGAGAGAGAGGAGAGAGAGAGAGAGAGAGAGAGAGAGAGAGAGAGAGAGAGAGAGAGAGAGAGAGAGAGAGAGAGAGAGAGAGAGAGAGAGAAGAGAGAGAGAGAGAGAGAGAGAGAGAGAGAGAGAGAGAGAGAGAGAGAGAGAGAGAGAGAGAAGAGAGAGAGAGAGAGAGAGAGAGAGAGAGAGAGAGAGAGAGAGAGAGAGAGAGAGAGAGAGAGAGAGAGAGAGAGAGAGAGAGAGAGAGAGAGAGAGAAGAGAAAAGGAGGAGCAAGAACTGGGAGAAAAAAAAAAATATGGAGAGACAAGAGAGCACATAAAGATAATAGGGGAAAAAAATACAATAGCAAGGGTACGGAGAAAAACAAAGAGAAGGGGCGACCCCAAAAAATTACACCTGTCGTCGAGGGGTGACATTGTCAAGGCAAGGGAAACTAAATATTAAAGAAGTAAAACGAAGTGAAAGCAAATCGAAATAGGTGGCGGAGG